GATGCTTCTAGAGGATGGCTCTCAGGACTTCTCGCAATACCTGCAGCAGGTTTGATGACTTAACTCTTGTCTTTATTTCTTTTCTGCTCTTTTATATGTGTATGTGATATCATGCATCTTTTCTGCTGCGGATTCCTTTTTTCCGCTTCTAATCTAAATGAATTTAAGATAACTGAGGCCTTAATAATTTTATGTAATTCCCTTGACTTGAAAGGACTGACTCTGTAAATGTTCGTGGCTTGGTGCATTATATTTGGTAACATGAAAATCTTAAATTTACTTGCACTTTCAAATTTCGCTTTTTTTAATTCTTTACTGTGGTAATTTTCTTCCCTTTGGTCAAGTAAGAAAAGGGAATATGATGGCTATGTAAAAGGTCTAAGCAGGGAATCAACATTCACAGTTTGGATTCAAAATGAAGAGGAGCTTTGTCCCTTGCTCAAGTTTAAGCATTGTGGTGTCTGAGACCTCTTCAACATCAATTACACCATGCATAAGCATGGTGATGGGTGAAATAATTTGGCTGAAATGTATTTAAGACTCAACTTCTTCCCCGAGTTTCCCCACATTCTACTTGAATCCTTATATTGTGAACATATATTGCCTTTCATGTTATCTCTGCACTCATCTTTATCAGCTACCTCACAGTTTAAATACAAAATGCACATCAAGTTGTCACTACTAAATTGTATTTGATCCAAGTTCATAACCCCTAGAAGATACATCCTAGGAAGAATGTAAATCAATTTTCACATGATGGTGAGAGCTTGTATATGGCACATAACTTAGGTTTCACATCTTTATGTCTCCTCTAATTGATATTTTCTCTAACTAAATTGAATCTTTTATACTAGTTCTCTATATTCAGTTGCGTTAGTATCTTATGGATGATAGAATAAAAGTTGGTTGCTTTATGGGGGCTTGATTCTACTCTATAATTCTTCTTGGCAGTTGATATTATTAACAGATTGCGCAGATAGCCCCTTCCCAGAAATGAAAATATCTAATCCAAACTACTCTCTGTTTTTTTTTTTTTTCTTCTTCTTCTTCTTTCTTTATCTTTGTAGCTTTCATGCTCCAGGAGCAGGAATTGCATGCTGCTGAGGTACACTAATCATCATTTTAGTTCAACTTTCGATGTTATAATTGTGTTCCCTAGAAGTAACAGATCTAATATCCATGCAGATGGAACGCAGTTTTATAGCTATCAAGCCTGATGGAGTTCAGAGAGGACTGGTAAGATGCCATCTGGTCTTGATTGTCAATTTTTTTAAAAAAATGTCTATCTCTACATACCAACTGAGGATAGATTGAAACAATAAACCAGAACTATGTGATATTATATACTTGAGTGCAAAGGTTTCAAGCATCTAAAATGCTTTTGAATATGTTCCTCTTTACAGATTGCAGAAATCATATCCCGTTTTGAGCGCAAAGGTTTCAAGCTCGTGGCTATCAAGATAGTGGTTCCTTCAAAAGAATTTGCACAGAAGCATTATCATGATCTGAAAGAAAGACCCTTCTTCAATGGCCTGTGTGACTTCCTCAGCTCTGGCCCTGTTGTTGCCATGGTAAGAGAAAACAAAATTCTTGAGTTGCTTTTTGCTATGAGATTTTAGGCTGGACTGGACTGGACTGATTTTGTTCATTCAGGTATGGGAAGGAGAGGGAGTAATAAAATATGGCAGGAAACTCATTGGAGCTACAGATCCTCAAAAATCAGAGCCTGGAACAATCAGAGGTGATCTTGCAGTTGTTGTTGGAAGGTATTTGCTTTAACTGTAACAGCATCCATTTTGTTCCTTTCTTGGCTTCTTTCTGTGAGTCAAAGTCTCATTTTTGGTTTTATGCAAGTCTGTGTTTTCTTTTTTTTTTTTTGGTATATCAAATGATAAGCTATATAATAGAGAATAGCCCTCTCCTTCCTAAACCCCTCCCCTCCCATTGTAGGATTTGAACTTGAGATCTTCAACATGGAGGCTCAAGTTCTTAACCATTGAAACGTCCCTTAACAGACACAAGTCTATGTTTGTTTGCAACTTGGATTAAAACGAAAATTTGGTTGTTTTCCTGTAGAAACATAATTCATGGAAGTGATGGTCCAGAAACTGCCAATGATGAAATCAATTTGTGGTTCAAGCCAGAAGAATTGGTTAGTTATACAAGCAATGCAGAGAAGTGGATCTATGGAGTCAACTAATAAAGGACCTTCCTTCCTTTTTAATAATTTATTTATCCTGGGAAATTAGGTTCCACATGAAGTTGGGCAGAGCAATGGTTTTTAGAGAAATAAAGACTAAGTGTCTCTCATGAAGATAAGCAGTGAATTGCTTTCATAGCTTTGCTAGACTTGACAGATGAAATTGAATTTCAGTAATAATATCTTCCACCACTTCTTTACAGACACACAAGGAAATAATGCAAATTTTAATACCCCTTCCTTCCTTTTTATGAATTTCTGTCTCTCATTTTATCTCTTGAATGTTTGAAAATGGGGTTTTTCTAAAATGTAAATTTAAGAAAATATTGTCCCCTCTCAAGAAAGTAGTATTATGATGAATTTCCAGTAATTCTTACGAGTATTTTTAAGTGTATATTTATTGACTTTAGGTTTTATTAATTGTGAAATTAAATTACTTTGGCGTAATACTACTATTAAAAATAAAATTTATTTTCTTAATTTGTAATTTAAAAACTACAATAAATGCGTTCTATTAGAAAAAAAAAAAAAAAGAAACTGCAATCTGCTGATGGGGAATGTGGACCACCAGAAACCAATTAAATAATGCCACGTAACAGAGCAGACATTTTTTGACAACCTAATCAAGATTAACTTGTCCATTGCCCTTTCTTTTCCTTTTTTTTTTTTTAAGTGGTATTATAAGAATAACTTTTTTACATCGTTTTTTTATATACTTTTTATATGTTATTAAATGAATAAATATATTTAATATTATAAATCTTATATGAATTAAAAAAATTAATTATTTTAATAATATGTTAAATTATATAAAAAATAAAATAAAAATATTATACACAAATCATTTTTTAAAAAACTCAACATTGACTTGGTCTGCTTCCTTCTTCATTTTTTCTTTGAAAATAGGCAACGGTCGGCTTCCTTCGTGGTAAGAAATAACTACGTACGTAACAGCTAAGGTCATCGGGATTCTGAGTTGTACTTTTAACATTCCCAAATTACCCTCCAAAAAATTTTGATTACGCGTAATTAATTTCTGTTGTCCCAATCACAGGCGGACACGAAAGCCAATCATTACTAAAATGATAAATTATCCAATTTTAAATGGCACTTGGAATCCGCCGGTTATTATTTAGAATAGTAATAATGACGATTTTCCGTCGTGTTTGTTTGTCGTCGCGTCGCGTGCTCGTCTTCTCCTTGCGTTGCGTTGCGTACCTGAGAAGCAACTTCTCTTCTCCTTCCTCTTTCCTTCCTCGAAGAAAGATCTACTACGTTATCCGAAACCCTAGCCCGACCTTCATCCACAATCACTGCTT